CTGTTTGATGAGAAGGGGAATTATAAAGCATCATATATACAAACGTTTGCATCCGAAGAAATAGTATCTGCTTAATACTAATGACAGTATATTTTATTCACTTTTTAATCATTGATCAGTAGAGTGGGACAAAAAACATTTATTTTATTTTTTTTATATGAGAAATAAATAATAATTACACTAGTTCTTGTACTATATGATGAATTGTATAATACGTATCCGAATAATTACAAAAATCTATATTTTCTGGAAGGTTTAATCAAACTTTCTTAGTCTCATTATTGTAAATGATATTGCTCGAGAGTTTGTTTTATACGATAAATGTCGATCTATCATCACCTACAAACTTGGAACTGGAAGTTTGAAAAACATCTGATATCTTGTGGAAAAAAGTGAGAGTGGGCTGTGGGAGAGTTCTTTTCCTGCTCTCATTCACATACACCCGCACGCTTGAGTCACCAAGATTTATAATAATAATAATACAGAGTATTATCAAGGGATAATGTTTCCAAAGAATTTCGTGTCTGTCAGGGAATTCGCTCCTGTAGCCCAAAAACAGCCACCTTGAAATTACAAACAAGATAGATAACCGATGTAAGCTGCAAGAAAAGTAAGAAACAAGGAGAATCAATAAGGTGTGGCGTGAAGGTCAATCATGGGAAAGGTATGGACTTTTAAAATCCTAAAATCTCGAAATCATTTGAAACGATTAAGAAACATTTGAATTCCAAGATTCCGTACTTTTTCTTTTGCATGGATCGATCCAAATTCATCGATAGATATATCAGACGGTTAGTTTGGTGACAATATTTCTGATAAAAATCCTATTATATAATGAACTACAACTCAAAATACAAATAACGTGCCATCGATACAGATATTGATTAATACAAACAATTACTGTAAAAAAAAACAGAAAAAATATCTATAGGAGAATTGGCCGTTCATATGAGTAAGCACCGAGGGGAAAAGTACGGAATCATGGAATTCAAACGCTTCTAAATGATTTGAGAATTTTAAGATCCCGTATTTTCCCTTTTGTCAATGGTGCTGACTTTTCACGCTTGGCGGTCCAATGACTTGATAGAGATTCAAGACTGTATACATTTGTCCACTTGTGCGTTACTGCTTTCAAGATGTTCTTTTCGGCTTTCGTTAGACAATTTAAAGAGATATTAGGTTGGCAACTAAGTTCTTGCGTTTTTTATGAAAATGCTCTAAAATATTCGAGAAAGATCTAGAAGTTTCCATACTAAGGGTATATAAAGGGAGTGTGAATGTCTTTCGAATGATAATAAATTTATCGATATGGAAGTTGACTATGATTTAAAAATAAAACTTTCTCGTACAGAGATACGAGTGCTTTTACTTCATGAATTCCGTCTGGATCACAACGCAACGAAAGCAGCACACAACATATGCAGCACGATGGGTAATGATGTACTCTCTATTCGTACAGCACAACATTGGTTCAATTGCTTTAAGAACGGTAACGTAGAACTCGACGACTTACCTCGATCCGGTAGGCCATTCGAATTGGATGTGGATCTCTTAAAGCAACTCATCGAAGAAGATCCTCGATTGACCTCACGGTATTTAGCAGAGCAGCTTGGCTGCTCCCATACTGTGGTGGAAAAACATCTGAACAAATTAGGCAAGAGATGGAAATATGGAGTTTGGATACCTCATGAGTTATCACCACAACAGCTCCAATTCAGGGTCGATGTTTGTATGGATTTAATGACGTCTCATCGTAACTATCAATGGCTACGCAATCTTATCACTGGTGATGAGAATTGGGTGTTGTATGTTAACTACACGCACAGATACCAATGGCTAACGAGGGAACCTCTCGAGGTGATAAAAAGCTTTAAGACCCAGACTACTCTTGTCTTATAGACCCTAGCTAGTAATGAAATACCCCCTTTTGGTTCATTCCCTTATCGCTTTCTAAAGGAGATATGCCTATTTCAAGTTTCACTCGAAATACACATTTCTTCCATGATTTTCGATTTTTCACTAAAACTAT